CACGACACTCCACCCCCCTCTTGTGCTTGAGTTTTGACGCACTGGAAGTAAGCCGGAAGTGACCGGAAGTGTCGTCATTTTTCTCCATTTATTTTTTCTCTATTATTTTGAGTTGAACTTGTATTATTCAACTTTGTCTCGAGTCGTTACGGATCCCCGTAAGTGTGTGTATATCGACTTTTATCTCGAGTCGTAACGGAGGCATCACTTGGCCATTTGTGAGTAGAGTTTTCGTCGTTGATACCGTGGGTTGTTCGGTATCATCCCACCGTACCAACTTATTGGTTGTGGGTTCAAATACTCAGATATTTTGACTTTTTTCGAGGGATGAGGTTAAAGTATGTGGGTTTCATTTTTATTTTACAATCTTTTATTAATATACCAACACCTCAGTCATTCTTCTGTATAACAAATGATAAACATACAGAGCAGAGTACAGAATATCTACTAAAACTCTTCCAATACAAAATATAACATGAACAATATAATACACAAGCAGTAGTTTCGACAGGATAACTACAGAGAGATTAGGTTTTATTTGATCCATCAGTAACACGAAAAAGTAAACAGTCATACATGTGAATGAAGCTTTCACGAGTGAGTGAAGGTTTTTGAAATCCAGTATTGTTATGAGCCAATGAGGGCATTGTAAATCATGGTATAAGTTAAGAAATGTGGTGGCTACTCCATCAATACAGTACAAAATAATAGTACCACAAAGATACAATACAGCAAACGTTTCGTATCCGAGGATCGGGAGTGCTACTAATTTACCCCAGTAGCATAAGGGCAGTAGTTTCCATGTGATGAAGATGCAATATAGGTGAACAGTGATGCAGACGACCAGTTTCCACAATATTGGATATAAATTTATTTCCACATCTGCAAGACATACATTTATCATTAGGAGGGGGGATGTGACATTGGTGGGCTTTCAGCCAGCTGTTCTAACAATGGTGCAGTCATATAGGGGTACACAAATAACAATTCATTTATAAATTGTTTTTCTGCGAATGGAGCTAGTTTAGCAAATGGATTTACATCAACAGTAAAAGTCCTCTTGGTGAATGCTTTCTTAGATTGTATAAGTTTTTTGATGTCTTCAGCATCTTGACGTTCAAATTTACAACACATATAAGCCCAAGTATTAAGTAGTTTGTTAAAATACGGAGCCAATGATCCCCTGACTTCATGTAATAAATCAATATATTGGTTAATGAAAGTTCTCAAATTAATGAGAGTTTTCCAAGAAACCTCTCCCAAATAAATAAAGCCAGTACTATCCCTCCCCTCTATCAATTCCACCTGAACACAAGGCTTGCTGCCAGGGAGCATACTTAATTTCAATTCCACTCGAGTGGACGTTTTAGTTTTATGTTTATATGATGGCTTTTTCAAATGCATATCAACAGCAACTGCCCAAGTCCCCATACTTAAATCATAGAACTCGTCAGTGGTCAGAAGAACCCCCTTCCCTTGAACATTCTCAAGAGAAACAAAAGGTGCTAATTCGCGTGAATAATCTAACCCCATCACAATAAACTTAGATTTCGAGGTGTTCAGAGGAATCCTCATCTCTAACAATCCCATGTAGCGACTCGGCATCTTTGACATGGGCATTCTCTCAACAGCCTTAAGGTAGAGATCATACATCCAGGCGCTTCTTTTCACATCTTCACAGAAGAAATGCGCGTTGTAACTTGAATATGACATACCTCCCACACTATCTTGATGTGTGTTCATAGTGCCAGCAGACAACGTCGAGAGAGATGGGGATAGCAAACGCTCCGAAAGCGAGGACGGCGATGATGAATTTTTTCCAGCGGGGAGCAGCTTCACCCTCTTGATAGGAGTAGCAGAATGAATTTCTTCTGCAGTCCTCTTCGTCTTCTCCCTGGGCAGATCACACGAACCCTATTGAGAATACAAGTACAGAGTTAGTTTATATAGTCTACAAGGGAATGTCACATAGGACACATGATAAAGATGCTTACCTCTTTCTCGCACTCTTCCTCTTCCTTCTCCGTAGCGTCACTAGCAGAACTCCAGGCAGCGTCACGTAGCCGTTTATTCTGTCAACAGAACACAAGTATGCATAAGATACAAATGGAATCATATGAAAGTGGAAAAAAAGTGTATGAAAAACACAAGTGAATTACCTCGTCGCCACATTTAGGGCATTCTTCTGCCCAGCAATTTTCTTCGGATGGATAAAGAAGGCATTCAAGCGGCTCCACGTCGGCAATCATGGGCTTCATCTGTAACACAGATAGAGTTAATATTTCACGGACAATGGAGAAACAGCTGAGAAAATAACAATAATAACTCACCTCTTCAGTGGATTGATGAGATGCAAGCTCTCCGTTGTCCATGGGGATGGTGGTGATGGAGGTGGAGGAGACAGTTGAGGAGGCCATGGCGATCCGGTGTCACGTCCAGTGGTGATGGAGACCAAGTGTGCCTTCTCCGTCGAACGCGCCCCAAGATATAGGGCCTCAGATGTTGGAGTGGGGGGTTGTGGCGGGGCGCAGAGTGGTGATGCGCCGTGAAAGTCACAGACCCGTATTGGTGAAAGTGGGGCGTACGCCCCCCGTTACAGACATGTTGCAACATGCTTGTAAAGAGAAAGTTCAAGACTTTCACGTGTCTAGCAGGTGTGCTATGGTACACCCTTGTGAGTCTCCCGTGGTATTTGTGTCATTGGTTATTTCCCAATTTGGAAAGTTGTGGGCGAACAGACGACTGACTAATGCATCGTTAGCTGTGTGGTTGCGAGGTGAAAATCGGTTCAGAAAGGTAGATACAGAAATGCCTCGCGCTCTATTGAGGGCGTATACTACACAATATTGACCACAAACGTTGGATGTTAATGATTGTATCCGTACAGAAGAATTTACACATTTTCTTGAATTCGAGCTAATAAAGTCCCTATGCCAAGGTGCCCTTGGTGGTTTTGCTAAACTATCAAAGTGCTCAGCGCACTTATTCTTACTAAAATATATAGCTATCCAGTGTTCCCCAGGATGCTTACTACTCTTGGTATTTACAACAAACAAACTAGGATATGCAACAGATTGAGGCAGACAATCCGCAGGGTACACCCCTTTAAATATCTTACTAGTATAATTATCCTTAGACAGACATGCTTCAATTTCTAAAGTATTCATTCTAATTAGCAAAGTCGGTTTGTACGTTCCTGTACTTGTCAATTTCAATGAGCGAGTCGAATTCAGAATAAACAATGAGATTCACAGCTTTAGCCAATTCGGATTTAAAACGAATCTCAATACGCAGACTGCCAGTCTTTTGGAGATTCCAAAGACCAGTGTGTGAAGAGAGGTTTGGCGTCAGGTCAAATGCATAAAGACAATACCCTCCTGGGTATTCGCTTCTATTTATATTGATTCCCTCATCTTTGAAATGAATCCCAGTACCAGAGAAAAGTGAATGATAAGCAGTTACGTACAGGGGAGACTTAGGGTGGGTGAAGTCGGGCGTCAGAGGTTGAGATGGAATTTGGTTACCCCCAGAAAACACAGCGAGGTGACACACATCACTATTAACAAAATTCCAAGGGTTCTCTTCGAGATCTCCGTTGAATGCATTATTATCTACAAGCCCCATAACCACCCTTCGGGGTTGAGGCCCTAGGTACACAGAGTCCATCACTTTACTTCTAATGCCAGCGTTTAGAGTCAATACTTTCATGTCTACTCTAGTTATAGGATACTTTGCACTTGCAGATTCGAGAGCTTTATGATGGGCCAAGAGAATTGAAGGATTAATTTTAACTCTACGTATTAAAAGTTTCGCGGTGTGAATTCTAACATCTACTTGAGCATCTCTGCTTGCCATAACATGAAATGCAGTTTTACTTCTGTGGAGTCTTAGTTTCATCTCAACCCCATTTATTAGATAGCGCTCTTGCCCAAAGAAGTCACAATGTAAATTAGATATAATGTCTACAGAACGGTTGTCTGAAAGAGCGTTAGCTCTTGCTTCATAACCCTTGTTTCTAGCATCTCTAGAATTAAATTCGAAAGCAGTATCTTTAGCAAAGAGTCGCGTAGTTAAGTGAGATTGTTGTGCAGGTAGATCATAACCCAAAATTGTGTCTATATATGCTTTATAGCCGTAACAGTGACTCCCAGATGTCGTATCCTTACCATTCAAAAGCACTTGAATATGATCAAACAAAGCATGAGGCCAGTTATTGACAGGGCCTGCCTTAGGTACGGCGGGGGCCGCCTCACCCGTAGCGAGAGAGGGCACAACAAGTTGAACAACGAGATAGAGCAAAGTATTAGCTACATCATAGTAATAATCACCTGAAGCAGGTGGTACAACAAATTCAATCACTCCTCCGTCCTTGGTTGAAGAAACGGGGTGAATCTCTAAGTAATCACCACTTTCAGAAGATTCATCGGTTAGAGGTAAATTAAAGAGATCCAACTCACTCTTTGCACACACATGAGAGTCCTTGTGAAGGAAAGCCATGGCTAACCAAATATATCGTTCTTGACAAACGAAACCTTACGCTTTTTAGTGACACGCTTCTTTTTCTTCTTGTGTGTAACCTTTCTTTTCTTCCTCGGCGCACGGCGGCGTTTGGGTTTCTTCCTTCTCTTCGGAGCCTTCCTCTTGGTGGTGGTGGTGCGCCTCCTCTTGACGTTGACGTTTGACTGACGATGTGATGATCTCTTACGCTTTCTTATACGGCCACTCCCCACCATTTTTCTGACACTTTCTTGAGCTTTAGCAGTGAGTGCCTCCTTGCTGGCATTCCATTGATCGTGGACAGATTCTTTAAACGGGCGGTTATTGACAAGAGTGTCCGACATGACATTTGTACCCGCTATAAGTGCTTGTTTTCCGACAGCTTTTGCAGCCCCTTTGACAAGAGGTGCAGCCAACCTAAAAAGACCTTTAAGAAAACTACCCAAACCGTACCCTTTTTGATAAGGAGACCCAGAATAGTAATGAGAAATACCGTTACCACCTTGTGCCTGATTGATGTAGTAGTGGGCATACGGACAGCCGCGAACGTGACTCATGGTACTACACAAAGTTTCTCCTTCTGAAGTGAAGAACACAGCTTGAAGTTCCGTGACTGAATGACACGTTTCGTCCCATCCCGTCCTTTATAAGAATTTCTACAGTATCAAATTGTCTCTTTTTAACAGGGATGTAATATGGGCGGTTAAATGTTACGGTTGCCATCGTACCATATTTAACCTTAGCCACACCAGAGTTAACGACACGCAAAAGTGGGGCTAGAGAGTCACCCACACTTTGATGTTCAACTAAATCACAATAATAGTACATTTGCTCCGGCAAGCCAATAAACAAATTAATGATAAAGGTACCATACTCATATTGAGGGTGACCGTAGGTATTCCGGCCGACAGGGAAACGTTGTTGGGTAAAGCCCAAAACTGCAGCTAACAACGGTGACAAAACAAAATCTCGCACGTGGTCGTCATCATTATATTTTACATTTTTAGTAACCACGTCTGGAAATATTTCCCATTTACAATAACCATGCTGATCAACGGAAAAAATAGAACCTTCGGGGAGTTTAGTATTGATATAGTCAACAAGTTCAAGAGGAGTAGCAAAATATTGTTCTTTTAAAGGTATGACAAGGCTTCTGCCGTACTCTGATTCGATACTTATCGTCTCACTGAAGTTAGGAAAGTGAAGAAAGGTAAAAGGAAAGCTGGCCTCGACTAACGCGACTTCTGCATCCTCATGTAGTTCTATGCGCCTAGTAAGAGCCGTTGTATAATGCGACGTCTTATTTTGTGGATAAACATCCATGCTACTGTTACTTGGGAGAGTTACATAAAATTGACTCATGATTACAATTGAACAAGATTATCAACCCAATCGTTAAATTTATCGGGATAACCCCTGAACTTTACAAAATATTTCTTCTTACCGTTAACAATTTTTGTTCTCAAAACTTTCTCAATTTTAAATATTTCTGTAGGTCTTACTTTTTGAATTTCGTGACTGTAATAACTGCCTTGGATCTGTTCGCCCGCTTGATCTTCCAGCACAAACGCAACTGGCTTGCGATCCAGCTTGCGCTTTATTATAAATATCTCTTGGGACCAGCCTTCCTCATACCCTTTCCCGAAAGCACCTTTGTCGAGAGATATACGAACATGGGTCCCTACAGTTAAGTCGGGCGACACACGCACAGTCGGAGTTTTATTCCACTTCGTTCTGAGTGCCTCATAGACTTTTGCCATATTGTTTTCGTTTACATCTTTGGGGGCCATTTTAATGGTGGAATGTTTAGCAGAGTTGTAACTCGTCATAAAATTTTGTAATTCGTCAATGTATCTGTGCGTGGATGAGTGTGTGAAGTACTTCCACATCCGTGACTTGATGCTGCGGTTAAGGCGTTCCACCACTCCACACTTCACGTCAGGGTTGTGGCTATGATAGTAATTTACGCCAATAGATTTAAGATAGTCTAAAACAAACTTATTTTGAAACTCAAGGCCTTTATCTGTCATCAGAAATTTAGGCTTACGGCCCGACGTAGTGATAATGTCCCGAATGGCTTCGAGAACACACGAACCCGTTTTCTTTTTGACAGGGCGAGCAAAGGCAAATTTACTGAAAACATCAATGCAAGTCAAAATATACCTATACCCAGAGTTTTCAGAGGCATAAGCTTGCATGTCAACCAAATCCGCTTGCCACAACTCATCTGGAAAATAAACACGGAATGAATTTCGCGGAAATCTTTTACGGGTCGGCCGATGAAGTGTATAAGGTTCTTCTCCCTCTAGCCAAAACTTGACACGGTCAGGTTTGATGTGAGTGACTTTAGCTAAAGTAGATACAGTGGAATAAGAAGCAGGGTGTGACGTGTCGTAATACACATTTCTCAAAATGCTATCTTCCTCGTCCGTTATAGTAGGATCCGCTCCCACTTCAAATTCTTCATGATCGGGCCCCATGCCTCCCCTATCTTTGCCCCCAGTGATGGTTCCACCCCCGGTGCCGCCCCACCCCCCACTCCTGACCCAGATTGAATGTGTTGCCATCTTTTATTGTTACCTATAAGTTCATGTGGCACATTGAGTTCTTTTATAAGGGATAGAAAGGGATTGAGGCCACGGGGTTTTTCAACAGATTTACGATCTCGTTGTAAGTCTCCGATCAAATCAATGAGATTGCTATCTGAAATTAATGAATCGTCAATGGAAATCCTCCCAACACTATCCCAATGGATTCGTGGTGAATTATCTAATAAAGTGTAAAGAGCCGTGGCCTTTTGAGTATACGTTCTAGGAATTTCGTTTGCAATCCTATCTTTAAGATCGGGTTTTAGTGACGGTGTCTTTGTGTTAGTGTCAGAGTGTTGTTCAACAATGGGCAATTCTAATGGTTTACGACTCTCTTCCAATCTGAACAAATACTTTTGAAGTTGCTGGTTGTACAGTGTCCATTTATCTCTATCAGATATGCCCGTCATGGATAATATACCTTGCATAGCTTGATCGAGATCATGTTGAGATTGACTCGCAGGAGCAGGAGCTTGTAATCTTGACAACGATTGTGGATCAACAAGTAAAAGTTTCTTAGTTGCATTCATTTCGAAATGAAATGAGACACAATGGCACTAATGATAGGACCCGCAAGAGCAGCAACGGCACCTATTCCGCTACCTTTCTGAATCATTAATTTTCTTTTCTTTTCCACAGACTCACCCTTTTTTGCAAGACGATGTAAGAACAAACGGTGCTTCTTCAATTTTCTTTTCTCACTTGTGGTGAGCGGCAAATTTCCAATGAGACAGTTGTGAGCACACTCTACAAGGCACCTAACCAAGTCACAATTGCACAATTTCAAGATGGATTTACTCGTTTTAGGGTCAGCCTTGTGGAGTACTTTAAGCAACTCTAGATGAGAAGTTACGTTGCGTTCCATGACGCTACACTATTATGACTGAACTGAGAGGGAGTGACGTCTTCGTTTTTATATGATTTAGGCACATAGGCATAATGGTGAGAATCGTCCGGAAAAATATCAGTTGTGACACGGTATTCGTCTGGAGTGCTTTGTTTGAAATTTAGAAGGAGGTAGCCATGGGGTTTGCTAGTGGAATCGTAATAAGCCTCTTGTACAAGTTTAGGATACTTGGGGAAAACCTGCCGGGATAGATAAGCTACCTGGGAACTGTCTCTCGGGCTTTTGTAGCATACCATATAGTGGCAGTTTAATGATACGTCTCTGGAACCCTTGCTTTGATGAAAAATATTTTGGCTCAAATATAAAATGGACAAATTTCTATGATGGGACCCTTTGGTAAATAAATCTACAACTCTGTCGTCACTCTCTCTCATCAAATCATCAATTATTAATAGACGCGCAACAGGATGTGGAGGAAAGTCTTCCAAACCCAAAAGACCTTGATTAAACCTCACGCGTGGGTGCTCAACCCTCTCATAAGCCGTTTGCCACTCTGAAAAACACCAAATCACCTCTCCTATAGGTTGATCCACCATATACTGAAGGTGTTTTAGAAACCGTGACACAAATACCGTTTTACCACAACCTAAACATAAAAACATAACATTGGATACAAAATAAAATTTACTTACTAATCTATATCACAGCTCATGAAAAATTGACTACCAGAAGGTCCCGCTATAATGGCAGTAAAAGGATGCTTCCACGCAATCACCATTTTAACAACTGACTAGTCAAAAGGAATGTATATTCTTTAAGTACGTTATTTATTATGATTCGCCTCCCCGCGCCGCCCTCGCGCCGCCCTCGCGCCGCCCTCGCGCCGCCCTCGCGCCGCCCTCGCGCCG